CTTCTTGCATATTCATACAAAAACCTAATTGAGATGAACATAGGCTAAGGTAAACAAATGAGCATGTGATAGAGTCACATGACCAATCTCAATAGGGATTCACATCCCAGGCATCCTGCATTGGCCTGAGCTCCATGCAAAACACTAAGCAGCAAGAATGTGGGACCCAAACAGAACTCTTCCCAGGTTCACCTTTGCCACTGAAACCTATTTGAGTATTCTGCATGGTGAACTTACTCTCAGTGCATTAACTTCCTCCATTTAGAATGGAAATAATTGTTGCAGTTACTGGAAACATATCACCATTTATTAGTAGTTGTATCATGTCTTTCCATACTGTGACATTCTGGCCTTTTCAACCAAGTATGAAACAACTAGTGTCATGTTGACATATATACAATAGATAGATATAGATACCCTTGCTGTTGTCAGAGAGATGGATAGATAGAGCTGGAGAGGGAAGTAGATACATAGGTGACATAGTCACATACATTAGATACTTAAGAAATATGCCTCTAAGAATGGTGAAGTGGTACATATAATTTATACATTCATAGAATATCTCTAAAGATTTTCAGAAATACTCCTATGAAGTAAGCAACATTGAGTTTATGCTGAATGTATGTATGGTTTCATAAAAAAATTTAAATTACTTAAAATACTTTTAAGGAAAACTTTAAAGGCTCAGAATAGCAAGGGTGAACAATTTTTCTGGGAGCCACAGAAGCCACACTAACTCCAAAGGAGAGCCTGGAGTAGTTTCCTACACCTTACAGCTCTGACAAAGCTGTAGAAGGAAAGGCATCTACTCACGTGCCCAGGAAGACATCCTTGGCCTCAGCATAGTTCTTGCACACCTCCTTATCCTCAACAAAATCAGCAGCAATGGAAGGCAGATCAGCAGGCATGTTGTCATTTTCCACGTTAGCAAGACACTGGGATTTCTGCAACACTGGCTTATCACAGCAAGCCTGCAGTTTGCTGGAGATACTTGCCTGATTCTCACACATGTACTTGGCAAGTTCCGCCTGTGAAAAATCAAAAACAAAGGTTTCAGAGAAATTATCTTGGCTACATTTTGTTCCTGGACCTCTGTTATGTGGGGAAAGCATATTCATCCTGTTCTAAACCACACACAACCAAAGTGGTTTCTGTAAACACATTCTCAGCCCTGAAGTACTGCAGAGCCCGTGGATGCAGATACTATGACCAAAACATTCCAAATAGAGCTGAGAAAGACTGTTCAGGAACAAGGTGTGTATTTATTTAAATTAATGCATTTTAATTAGGAAGTTTATGTCTTTCTGACTGTGATAATTCAGGTCACTTTTTCTGTAAAAGTTAGTCCTTGTTTTTTTTTTTTTTTAAAAAAAAATTCATCCCAAATTAAGGGTAGGCATTTTGAAACTAAATAATTCATTAAAATATGAAGTATAATTAAATAATCAGTAATGAGTTCAATTACAGGCCTTGCTTACATACATAAAATATCTGTCTTGAGTTTTCCAGAAGATACTATGGTAGAAGAGGGTTCTGGTATTTGGTTATATTTTTAGTCTTTGGCGAGTGGGGGTAATGGAGATAATCAGACAATGTTGGAGAAAATGAGATCAAAGTAAATTTGTATGTACTTAAAGCAGACAGTTAGTTAATTAGGGGAAAGACTACCGAGGGATAAATGCATTTTTAAAAGCCTTTCCAATCTGTGGGATCTCTAGGCCCACTTCTCTCTTTCTGAAACTTCTAAGAAATCTACATTTGCAAATGGTTCTTGCTCCATTAGAGCCCTCTAAAAGTGTGACTGAAGAAAGGGGTGTTGGGTCATTCACTGAATAATTCAGATATCTTTTTGCTGTTGTTTTCAGATTTTTGGTTTTTTTTTTATTTTCTCTGGAAAGTGGCACCAACCAAGGAGAGCTTGTTAAAGTAATGGTCACAAAAACAGACATAAGTGTCCTCTAATGAAGACAAACATATGTATTCACTGACAGAGCATACAATGACTCTTTACCCTGTCATCTGCACATTCCAGCAGGTCGCCATGGCAGCACTCCTTGGTGATTTTGGTAAGGTCTGTTGCCAATTTGGTGATTTCTGCAAAGTCAGCACTTGGGAATGCCTGGCTCATGCGAGCTACTGCCCTGAAATTAAAAAAAAAATAAAAAAAAACTCACAGAATTTCCATCAACGAATTATTGTCATGCTGTATTTGTATGAAAGCCAAAACAAACAAACAAAAAAACCCACCATTTACAACAAGTTCAAAACTTGTTACAAACTGTTTTGTAGTTCAAAACTGACTTAAATGAACAAACTATAAAAATTCACCAGTTCTTGTAATGCTAGTCTGGCATGATAGTTATGTTTTTCTTTGGCAGAATTATCTACTACAAGAATGGGGGTGGTGCCTTGAAAGCTAAAGCCTCATTAAGTTAAAATCATAGAAGATCTTCCCCAATGGGGCAGCAGTGAAGCTTTAAGTCCTTATCTGACTTCTGTTTCTGGCTTGACCCCATTTAAGCACTGGGACTAACAGGAAGCAGTAGCTTCTAGACTGTTATAGCATGAAGAATCAAAGGACCTGGGGGATTAAATTACATAAAGGCATGAAAGCATTTTCTCATCTGGATGAAATGAAGATTCCTCATCTTTCATCATAAGACATATTACTCTCAATACTAATGTTCTGTGGGGGAAAAAATTCTTAACTTCTAGAGAAATGGAGAGTTCTAATCATGAATCCTCCTGCCAAGAAACTGTTCCACCAGACAGCCTCTAGCTCTATGGCAAAAGCCAAGATTCTCATCCCAAAATAATTATCAGTTCCTTAACTCTAATAAAGAGACTTCTTTTCAGGAACCTGTCACACCTTGCCTACCAGTGTATTGTTTAAAATTGAAGTTGCTTCCTTTGTTGATTTGGTAGGCTGTAATGATTTGGCTACTAGGAATGACTTAGCGGGGATAATTGTGCTGACAGTTTCTAGAGAACACACACAACTTCATCTCAACTTTCCTATTATGTTGATTCATTATTGACTAACAGTTGAGGCACCAGAAGGGAAAGCATATCTTCCTTGGCTTCCATATTAAAGGATGCACCCAGACTCAGCTACAGCATACGAAGTCAAAGAGACAAGAGACAGTCAAACACAAACATGAGATTAAGAACACAATTGAAGTTGTAATAAGATTGGAAGTAGTAACTCCAGCTTGTATGATGGCTAAATTCAATGATCAAGATATAAAACAGTCACTTTTAGATTGAGGGAATATAAATTACATAAATTAACCATCCTGATTATAACAGCATTTTGTAGGATTTGAAAATGAGTCCCAGTCTTTATAAACAAATAAGATTTTAAATACCTATCTTCTCTTAAGAAAAAAAAGTCCTCTAAATTCTTTGATAATTTAAAAACAATGAGACAAAGATCTCAAATTAATACTATTATTCTAATATCACATTTAGTGTACTTTCATAAAGTGCCTTATAAAGACACAGCCTTTTGGATTGGACAACTATCATCAGAAAGACATGAGCTGAGATATTAAAGAAAAGTCATGTACCCTGCTTTGACGGCTCTGTCTCCATATTTCTGGATACTGGAGCACTTCATTCTCTGACGGACAGATGAAATCAATGCTTTTTCCTTCACAGCATCAAGCTACAAAAAGAAATCCAGTTGAAAAAAATGGAAAAGATTATTTTTATACACACACACACACACACACACACACACACACACACAGCCCTTCCAAAGTTTCAGACAGCCCTATGCCAAAATAATTGGTTTGGGTAGGGAGGAGTTGAAATCAGGACCTTTTTCATGCTAGGTAAGGACTCTGACATTTAGTGGGACCTTCAATCCAAATAAAAATTTATAAAGATACTTTGCACCTCAATTCACAAGTATTCCATTTTGTCAAATAATTATTTGGATACCTAAGGGTAAAGAAAATCAGTCTGGTCATAGCATCTAATTACTTAATGCACCTTAGAGACATTGCCAAGGGAAGAGTCCTAAAGGGGGATGTCCCAGGACATAAACCTGGTCTGCCTTTATAATTTTATGACTAACTCATTTCAGTCCTTCCTCCATCAACCTTCATAAAATCAGGAAGTGCCTCCAAAAAACAAATGATGCACATAAAAAATATATATGGAAGGAAGGAAGGAATTCCAACTTCTAGCCTCTGGAAATACTCTCTGCTTTGAATTTTAGCTCCAGTAAAATGTCTCAGAGAAGGTAAAAAAATTAAAAGCACAAACAAACAAACGAACAAACAAAACCTAGCCATCTCTGCACAATTTGACAAAGAATATTCTACTGCATACATCATTACCATAAAGAATGAGAGGACAAGTAACACATGGTCAAGGATTTTCGCTCTCAGACCATTGCTAAACTTTAGAAGGAAGAAAGGTATGAGAACAAGAATCCATTGGTTACTTAAGAGTAACCAACGATTACATTTCATTCAGAAATGTAATTCAGGAGTTTCATTCAGAAAGTCAAGTCTCCTGAATCTAGCCATAAGATGATCAAAATCTGGGGTTAGAATACACAGCCAGTGCTTCATATGTCTTTCCAGGGATTACCTTAGGGTTCATGCAGCCTGCTTTGTCAGCCTCAGCACAGCACTGGGTCAGAATCGCAATGTATTTCTCAGCATAGTAAAGGAGTTCAGGGGCATAGAAATAAGGATGTCTTCTGGCAAATTCATACAAATAGCTGAGTTGTGGAAAAAAAGAAGAAGAAAGCAGACAGTCATTGCCCATAGTCCAGAACACTAGAGAAATGACTGGAGTCAACCCATACCCTTGGGTACACATGGGATTTGTAACTGACCATTTTCACTCATTGTAGCCACCCCTGTGTGATAGTCTTTGTCTGTTGTTAAGTGAGAAAAGAGAGATGTGTGTGCATGTGCACTTTTGTGTGTGTGTGTGTGTGTGTGTATGAATGTTCACAAGTGTGCATAAATTTAGGTGATATAATGTTGCTGACTAAAATGATGTTGATCCAGAGAACATGAACATCACACACACACACACACACACACACACACACACACACATACACACACACACACACACACACACACACAAACACCCAATCAAGTACACACAGGCACGCAGGCATGCAGGCATGCACACAAACAAACACATTCAGAATATTTTGCAACTTCCCAGTCTCAGATATTTCACACAGGTCCTATCTGTGATCAAAAACAAAACATCTTTCATCTTTTTGTTGTCATTGTGAATAGTTTTGTGGTATCAAATATTATGTTTTTTAAAACCATCTCAACACATTCCCAGTCTTGGTGTTGGATCTTTGGGGTTGTCATGACTATTAGCATAAGTGATACTGTCCAAGCTATTGCCCAGTTTTTAGCTTAAAGCACAGATGTCTGGGTACTCACTGTCCCATGAAGCTGCCAGGGTTTTCCTGGAAGTTGGTGCACATGACGTCAGCCTCTGGCCTCTCAAATCGTGGCAGGTTGGGGTTGTCATCCTTGTGTTGCAGGAAGCATTCGTTTCTTTCCGGCTCTTGTTTTGCACAACAGTCAGCCAGTTCACCATAGCTTTCACGAAGAGTAGGAATGCTGCATAACTTATCTCCAAAAAGAGTGTGCTTAAGTGGAAGACAGAAAGGTCAAATTACTGCCAGTACCCAACTTTCTCCATAGCCAAAAAGCTAAAAGTTCCTTTTTTAAGCCATGAAGCAAAAGAAAATCATACAGAAATACTCCTCTCACACACTTTCCTTTGATTTACCTATTTCTGTATAATTTTCATGACAGTCAAGTGCCACAGTGTATGATGTGTATTATGGATAAGACAGAGAAGCAAAGAGCGAATGGCCTTGAGGAATGTCACCTTCTGTGTTTCCTATCTGGTACTAAACGGTAGGAGCAAAGTCACTATAATTAAAAAATAATAATCAAGGGAATTTGAGGAGCAGATAAAATCATGCTGAGGAGAAACACTTTCACACAATTCCTCACAGGCTCTGCTCCTTTGGGAGAAGCCTAAATTCTCACTATGTTCCCTGTAAAACTAAGGAATAACACAATCCTCCCTGTTATGGATAGCCCTGGCCTTGTGTTTTGATGTTAATTCCACTTTTCTGAGAGGGGCTGCCGAGGAGGAGTGAATCAGTACACAGGTGACTTCTATTGAACCTTCTGCCCACCTTAAGTTGTAAAATAAAGGCTAGAGCCAGTGATTGGGCATAGAAGTGGAGGTGGAGAAATAAAGGTTGGTTGGAAGAGAGAGAGAGGGAGAGACAACTACAGAGGAGGAAGACAATGGAGGAGCAGGAGGTGGAAGGACAAGTGCATGACTTGGAAAATCCCAGAGTTATAAGGATCAAATAGCTAGGGAATAGAATAGTGTAGTGGTGAATCTGCCCAATCTAGGTGTGCAGCTTATTTTCATAATTATTGAGTTGTGGTTTTTTTGAGTGGTAATATTTGGCTTGGAGATTTACCACAACACTTCCCTCCCTCTTCTCCCTTTAAACCGTCTCATGTAAGCCTCCTTGCTCTGTTTCAGAACCATTACTTCATTTTTCAATAATTGTTGTTACATGCACATACATATACATGCATCTACATATATACATGCATAAACATTTATGTAAATATGCATATGTTCCTAAATGTAGCTTGCTTACTCTGTATACTGTTATTTATATGTATGTTTTAGGGATGACCATTGGTATTGGATAGGCAATTCATGTGCTCTTCCTCTAAGAACGTATTTCTCCTGCTCTCTACATTCCTTAGGTGCCCATAGGTCGTTGTATATGGTTTAGTTCTTGTGGTCTTCCCTCGTGCACTTTGGCATGTGTATTGTCACTGTCACTGTCAGGCTTGCATTTGTGCAGTCTTGTTGGTGAAACTTTTTGAGTGTAACTTCTGCAATTACTAGGAAATGGTGTCCCATAGAAAAATTTCCGTTGTCCTGGCTCTAACAATCTCTCTGCCCCCTCTTCCACAGTGCTCTCTGGACCTTAGTTGAGGGAGTCTCGATTTGCTTTCCTTTGAAACACTCAGAATCATATAAAGCAGAAAAGTAGATTCTCAGAATCAGAATATACTCACAAGGGATTTGTCACAGTTGGCAGCAGACTCATCGGCAACGCATGTCTTTGCAAAGTCTGTGACTTCATCCACTAATTTGATATGCTCTTCATATGGGCATTTCTGGAGATACTGGGAAAAGGCAATCAGAACTCTGAAAAACACACATAGAAAGAAAACTCGAATATGAGACAGGTGGCTCTCCTAAACAGCAAATTGTGTATGTCTACACCTTTGATATTGTGTAAATCTTTCATACAACTACCTAGAAAGCCTATTCTGGTTAACTATTCTCTGAGGCATAACCAAGAACACCTGCCTTTCCAAGCAAAAAGAATATGGATTTCTACCATGCTAAAAAGTAAATGCATATATGTGTCAATAGATTCATGAACATGAGGCAAACAAGCAAAATACTGTCGAAATTTATTCACTGTCAAGGCTAGATATTATAGAAGTCCTTTGAGTTATTTCTTTTCTAATCCATATACCTCTGTTAATTGCAATACATGACGCTATTGACTTTTTAAAGATAAACTAATTACTCATTTTTACTACAGTAAAACATTACTAAGGTAGATGTGACTTAAGTATAGACCACCTACTTCACATGTGTAAGGTCCCAGTACTACAAAAAGATAAAATAAGGTTCTCAAGATACCATGAGATCTTGTTGCATGAATAGTAATTGAGCTGCCCCGAAAGCTATAGACCTTTGCAGAAATAAAAATAAGTTTCTAGACTTAACAAGTTAGATGTGGGCTACAGATTCTGGCTCCAGGAAAAGAGCTCTTCGTCACACATGGCTAGACACATTCAATAAAAATGAAATATTATTTTAACGTGTGCTCTTCATTTACACTTGCCATGGGCAAAGTACTTGATAAACTTGTATCCTCTGGCTGGCTGCCATATTGCTCAGCACAGATCCACAGCCTTTTCGCCACTGAACACATTTCTATTGGACAGCACTGCTCTACAGTTTGCATACTCAAGGTGGGAAAATGTGTGTTAGAATTTAAACTGATACTATCAAAAACATTAAAGGGACCTTTGGCATTTTAACTTACAGGCCTCTGAAAATTTGCTCTCCCAAATCATTATACCGATGTGCGATCTCACTCTTGTCTGTGGAAACATGGAGAGAAAACCACAAAACATATTTATTTAAATATTGATGAAGACAACTAATTGTAGTATCCTTCTCTTTATTAACTTAAGCTATTCCCTGAAGATGCCGACCTCTAATCATTACAGGAAAATCTGAAGATGGTAATGATTCCTCTACTACCTTCAAAGTTAGATTCTTACACTAAAAATATTGTTTTAAAACTCATTAAGTGTTTATGACTTTGCATTCAAACCCAAGATTTAATGCTTCTGTCCTGTCTGTAAATATCTACTAAGACAATAGTGAATAAATAAAAGTAAATATAAATAGAAATACCATTTATAAAATTAGTAAGACACACTCTTAGTTGTTAGCATAGCATGTTAGAGCAGGGAGGCCCTTTGAAACTGCAATGAATTCAGCTATATCTGATGTAGTTTAAATCATTCTGCCAAGCATTATTTTAAAGGTTAAAAAAAAAAATTAAAACTAAGCTATCCAAATCCCCCCATTATCATCATTGAAGATATCTAAAATATATTAATAATATAACCATTATGGGTTCTCAGATGGAAACAATAATAATAAAAATAACAACAACAACACTCTAGAAATCAATGCTAAAGGAAAATTTAACTATTTAAATATACCAGGCTTCCTTTACTAGGAAAGATAAAAGTAGAGACAAAAAATCATAAAACTCTTACGTGCTTCTCGGCGAAACACACCCCTGGAAAAAGCAGAGCCGGAGACACAGAGGAGGAGGAGAAAGGATACCCACTTCATTGTGCCAGAGGCTAGTGGGGTTGATAGGAAAGATGATCTGTGTGCAGAGAAACTCACGCTAATATACTTCTTTAACCAATAACTGTAGATCATTAACCACACTTACCTCCCATTTCATTGGTCCCTACCTTGTTACAAAATCATACCATCCTTGCCAAAATGTTGTTTGACTAAATCCCTTGTGTATGTTTGACATCTGGAGCTGTTTGCCCCCCCTCCACAAGACTTTGTCAGTTCATTAAAGTTACATAAGACATCAAATTTTACATAAAAGTTTAGTCTCTTTGTCTCCCATTTGAGCATTTCAGTTTGTGTCTCTTAGTGGTAGTATGACAGGTTTTAAAATTGAGAACTGAATTGCATTGTTCATCCCAAATATGCTTTTATGTAACGGTAATAACAAATTTACATAAGGAAGGAGTTTCTCATTATAGAGTTTCCAAGTCTTTTGCCTCTTTTTAAAGTTAGAATCATCAATAAAGATCACAGTGTTTCAAATGTGAAATGAGAAAGGGTAGAGCAAAAAAAGAAGTGCAGAAGACTTTCAGAAGCTTTCTTCTTCATATCTAATTCTACAAGGAAAGAAATCTACTTTCTATGACCTCATTCTTACATCCTCATCCTCAGGAACATGCATAAATTCTGTAATCAAACACAGGAGTAAAGGCTAAATGAAAGAGAAATGAAAAGTGTTTCCTTGCTTGTTTTATGACTCAAAGAGTCCTGGAACATTACAAACTAATCTCTGAAGACACAGATGAACGGAACATTAAAAAAAAAAAAGTCCTCCTGTGGAAAAACTTCCACTGGGGGTGACAGTGGGTGTGCCCTTCCCTCAGCCTTGAGCAGGCCTGAAGGATCTCCTTTACCACAACAGACCAAACAATAGGACTCAAGTGTTAACCAACTTGGCGACCCACAGTCTGCTACAGGAGCTTAGAAGAATAGACTGCCTGCTGAGATAGCCTTGAGACACCTCCCCTCATCCACACCCCGAAGAGACTGGAGCAAGCAGGAGTTCAGTGGTGGAGGTGGGGCTTCTCCTTTTAATTGAGAGCTGAACATGAAAGCATTGAGCCTTGATCAGAGAACTTTGTCTTGGCTTAATGTCTTTTCGCCCTCTGTCCCCCTTTCATTCCCAGCCTTCCTTTGAGAAGAACACAGTTGACCTGTGGCCACAGGCAGCTATAGAATGGCGCCCAATGTGGGGCCTGTAAAGTAGGGAGGATTAACTGAGGAACACTATCTTGTATGGAGCTCTATGGAAAACAGAACAAGAAGGAGAGTATCCCACACACTTGGTAAGCAGCAAATGATATTGATACTAGTGCTAGTTATGGCTATTCCTGTGTTTGCAGAAAGTGTGTTTAAGTGTATATGGTCTAGGTTGAATAGGTGTTGACCCGACACCTATATCACCTAGGAGGTGACAATGATTTTGGGACCGGAGAATTCCAAACAGGCATTTGCCACAGCCTAAGAGCTGCCTCAGGCAAGAGGAGCAGGTTTAGAAGGAATTAGAAGACTAAAAAGAGATGAAGATACCATACAGAAAAAGGGATTCAGAACTCTCTGGCCTGTGTCAGCAAAAAAGAATGAAAAGGCTGTTTCAGAGCTCTCCTAGGAACAGGAGGAAATTCAGGAGTTTCTCTTTGGCTCCTAGAGGTCTTTGTCTGTTGTTTGTCCTTGGCATGCCAATGTCCACGTGTGTTAACTGTTTGTTTTTTGTTTCATTGTCTAAATGTTTGATTGTTCTGTTTCATGTTCAAAAGACAAAAATGGTTAAAGCTGGTACTTATCAACTCCTTGGTCTAGTTTAACTTTTTTTAAAGGCAGTCTTAATGTACACAGATAAGTTACCTGTAGCTAAAAGTCAAGCTGAGCTGGAAAAGTCTTTCCAGGAATTGGAATTGATTTTTTGCATAAGCTGCTGTTAAAGGGACCAGCAGCTTTTTGGATTGTATAAGGAAGCTAAGAGTTGTTTGTCCCAGAAAACTCTCTGTGACAAGGTGCTTTTCTCTTGAAATTACAGCTAGAAAAAGCAAGAAATTTTGCTTGGTCTAAATATATAAGATGTGTAGCGACTTCATTTCTGTTTCTAATTGGTTTAAAAGTATAAATATGTTCCTCATGTCTTGGTTATAAATGATAAATGATTGGCTTATAAGTTATTGGGTTTGATTAGAAATTTGCAACTTTGGTAACAGAAAGTTGGCTTAAAACTGGTAAGTCAGACTTAGAGCCATTCAGAAACCAGATGTAGAAAAGATTTAAAAGCAATGTCTCTTTTTAATGAGATATTAAAAGCTGCACTATCATGCATTCATATATATGAATTGACCTCAAAACTTTGTAATATAAAAGTAATCTATTTGGTGTTGATTTTAGAGAAAATAGATTGTTTACATTGTTTTTGCTTTTGGCTTTGTTTCTCAAAATTATGGTTATACTCTAATGTTGCAAAAGAAACTTTAAAATATAGTAAAACTGCCAGTATTCCATTGGCTGCAGTTGTCAATTCAATTGTGAGTTTGGGATTTTTTTTTGACTTGCCCATGTTTACAGAAAAGAAGATAGAGCAGGTAGAGTTGACTAAAGGTATTTAGAACAGCTGTGATACAGTACAGGCCTGCTGGAAGAATAATCTTTGAGGCAGGCCTCAGAAAACAGGCAGAGATTAAGAACATTTACATTTAAATTAGGACAATGAAGACTGGGCTCAACAGAAGCTTGTGTGGCAGACATTCCTTTTGTCCTGACCAGCCCCTAGAAAGGTGTTTTCTGGAATTTGTTGATTGCCTTGCTTGTTCCTTGAGGGGGAGGCATCAGCCTCAGGCCCAAAGACATTCACTACAGTTTATGGGCCAGGAATTGTAGATGAAGATTATGCTGGAGGAATTAAAATTATGCTTGCTTCCTTCCATGGCCTTGTAACTGTACCTGCTGGCAAAAGGATTGCTCAACTTGTTTTAGTTCCTTTGCATCTGCCTCCTTCCAAATTTGTTGAGAATGAGAGAGGACAAGATGGCTTTGGTTCCTCTGACATGTATTGGGTCTGATCTATTACTAGCAAGAGACCTAATCTTAAGCTAATAATTGAAGGAACAGGTTTTGAAGCATTAATAAATACTGGGGCTATGTAACAATTATTAGAGGACAAGAGTGGCCTTTAGCCTGGCTTTTATCTGATACTCTCACTCAGCTAAAATGAATTGATTATTCAATTAATCCAAAACAAAGTTCAAATTTAAGTTTTATAAACTAATGGGGCATTACAGCCTGACTTCCCTGTTCCAGCTGCCATTCCAGTAAATATATATAGAATAACTATATATCTAGAAGATTGTTTTTATACCATTCCTCTACATCCTGGTAAAGGTGAGAGGTTTACATTCAGTGAATTTGCTTGTAATTTTTGAGATCCCATAAAGAGATATCATTAAAAAGATTTACCTCAAAAAATGATTAATAGCCTTTCCTTGTATAAAAAATTTGTTGTTGCTTTAATACAAGATGTTAAGAGTTTAAATCTTTCAGTATATATTATTCATTGTATATTTTATTAGCTGGTCTCTCTAAAGGAGTTCTTCCACAAGTCTTTGCTCTAAAATAATGAGCTTTAAATTTTTAGAGTGCTTGTTACCCAGAAAAGATTCAAAGGCAATATCTTTTCACTATTTGGGATATCAGTTATATCTTAAACAGATTGTACCACAGAAAATTCCAATAAGAATAGATAGATGTGTCTGGAGAGATAGCTCAGCCTTTAAAGGCTAGGCTCACAACTAAAAATATTAGAGTTCAATTCCCAGCAACCACATGGTGGCTCACAACCATTTGTAGTATGATCTAGTGCCCTCTTCTGGCTTGCAGATGTACAAGCCAAAAAAAAAAAAGGTTTACTTTTAATGATTCTCAAAAGTTGTTAGGAGATATTAATTGGCTAAAACCTCATCTTAAGCTTACCACAGGAGAACTTGAACCTCTGTTTGATATCCTCAAGGGGGATGCAAATCCTAATTCCCCTCTACAATTAACTGATGAGGAGGAATAACTTTGTAGAAAGTAGAGTAAGCTGTTAGTTATCAAAAGATATATTATATAGACTATGATAAATTATTGGCTGTTTGAGTTATTGCTACTCATGTGCTCACAACAGCCCTTTGGCAAAAGAAACCATTAATGTGGATTCATCCTTCTTCATCTACAAGTAAAGTTTGAACATCCTATTTTGAAACTATCACAGTGCTAATATAGGATTGTAAGATAGAATCCTGAAAGTATTTTGGATGAAATGTTTATTCCTTAGTCCAAATAGAAATTAAATTGGTTATTGAAGAATAATATTTGGCCTATTACACGGCAAACTTTTAGGCAAATTTGATAATCATTATCCATAAGACAAGTTGTTACAGTTTTCCTCTATGCATGCTTTTATATTTCCTGTAAATTTGCATGCAACTCATAGAAAAGATGTTTGCTGTATTACAGATGCCTCATCTATTGAAAAGGCAGTATATGTAATTAGATCACATGTTAATTTTCTTGAGTTTCCCCCTGCTTCAGCACAAATAATTCAATTACGTGCTGTAGCGACTGTTTGAAATGATGAAAAATCAAGCTATCAATTTGTATACTCATAGCCAGTATATGGCTCATGGTTTACAATTGCTTAAAATTGTTCCTTTTTTAGATATTGCTAATTCTCACATTTTATAGTTATTTATGAAAAAATACAGCTTAATTTAAGAAACATGCACTGTTCCTTAACTTTATAAGACAGTTAAGAGCTCATATCGGATTGCCTGGACCCCAGGGCAATGCCAGAGCAAATTCCTATACCAGCCAAATTATAGACCTTACAGAAACAATTGGCCATACAATCTTATTCTTTACATCATCAAAATAATAATAGCTTGAGACAATAATTTGGCATTTCTAGAAAGTGTGTAAGTTAAATTGCAAAAACTTGTTTTCAGTGCCCTCAAAATTTTCTTAATGGTGGTGAGACTTGAGGGCTTATACATAGTCAATTTCAGCAGGTG